GCCATCTCATATTTTTTCAAGACATGTCATAATTTTCATCCACTAAAATTAAAATAAATAAGTGTTTTTACTAACTGTACTTCTCTAAGAGGAAGGGGAAGTGTTCACGTTTCAGTCGCATTTTAAATTTTAATGCCAACTGTTTTTGTCGTTAGTGCTAGATTCCATTCTCTTTTGCAAGTTATGTATCTGGTTGACCTGATCTCTCATTTAGTTTTAATTGGAACTTATCAAAATACAACTCAGTTTATCGTATTATATAGGTTTGATTTATCATTAATCAACTTTAACTTACAAATATATAATTGAGTTTATCCCAAAGCCACCACACATGTCAAAAGATTACTACATTGACTATAGACATTACAGAAGCATGTAAATTTTTGGGTTTTTCTCATAAAAATTTGACTTCTTTGTAATGGAACTTATATTTTTACAAAATAAAAACTACAATTCTTTCTTCACACATTAGTTGCAAAAAAAAAAAAAGGGATTAGAGAGAAAAAGCTTCTTAAGAAATTTGCAAAAAGAATGTGAATGAGAGAGAGAGAAGCAACTCCATAAAGAGACTTGACCAAGATGATGAAAAGGAATAATTTCCTTGGGAATCCAACCCTGGATTCGGCTTTCGGTTAGGTCCGGTCCTAGATTATCAAACTCTATAGTTGAACCGGGTTTGCCGGTTTAGCTACAGCCTTCTCACTATCTTGTTTCATTTCTTCCAAACGCTTTGCTACCTGGAGATTCAGAAAACATACAATGATCGAGAGATTCAATTTGAAGCATCTCTCTTTTGGGTTTTCAAAAGCCATTACTTCACAGCTTGTTCATTCATAAAGGAGATACATAGCTTGTTAGTCTTTGAGTTTCGAAGAAAAGAGAGAACCTTGATGGAGTAAGCCAATGGAAGCAAAGTATCAGGATCCATGGCATCTTCAGGGAAATTCCTCAGAGCATGCATGAGTTCCTCAAATGGCAATTTCACCAAATCATCATGGCAAGACTTCAACAATGCTAAACCAACTTTGAACACGATTTTAACACCCTATACCGACAAAGGAAATGATAAAACATTTGGAGAAAAGAAAGAGACTTTTGAGATATTATTATAAGATGTTGTTTAGTTTAATTACCTCGGCTAGAAACACATCCCAGATTCGTAGAGCGGAATGGAAAGGAAATGAATATGAAAAGACGGTTATGAACCATTGACTTGCATACATACTCGGGTTGATCATTTCTTGAGTGAAATGTTCTCCTAGTTTTGGCATTAGCTCTCTTACCAACTGTTCAAACTGTAACAGATATTGCTGTACAAGAGGAAGCCCTGGCTACATTTATAC